CAAATCTACCGTAATGACTTGCAATGTATCTTCTTTTACCGGATGTATTGTATTCCACCGCGAATAATCTCGGTTCCATGGAATATACGATATCTTGCGATTCTTTTTGAGGATCGAGTAATAATGATTCATGATGTGCAAATGCGAGTTCTTGAAGGGGAAACGTTTGAAAGGATGATTTATATTTGTATGCTTGATATTGGATCCAATCCTTTTCTTTCTTCATCATAGTACATAGAGAAAAGTGATTATAGATAATCAGTACATGTATGTTTCTAGTACTAGACTAAAGATATACATAGGTATTTACGAGTAATAGAATTAAAAAATGTAAAAAAAGCTGCTTTGAAAGGTGATTTCAAGAGGCCTAGCCACAAAAGATATTTCCTTGCTGGAAAGTTTACACCGAATGAAATTGATGAGATCGCGTTGCCACGAACCCACCGCCATTTCACCATGTAAACTTTCCAGCAAGGAAATATCTCCGGAGACAACCCTAACGCCTTGCCGTCTTCTGCTCTGATGTGCAATTTGCAATTACATAAATTCAATTAAAAAATACAAAAATGAGAACCCCAATCGTTTAGAATATCCTTACAAAAGATACCATCGTGAAGTACACTCTTATTCTTATGCCAAGAACTACCGCCAACCCTTCGCGCCAAATTACGAACCTTTTCCTTAATTTTGGCGCGAATAATTACAGTTTCGGTGTTTGTATTCTTCGTCACGAGGCCACGTTGACTCAGCAGTATCCATTCAAAGAAAAGCCGAAGGAGCAATGATGATGCAAAAGGTGGCCAAAGCAACGCAAGTTCAACGTCGGCCTGCTTCTCTGCTTTCGTGAATCAATTCTCGCTCTTATCATAGAATACTCTATTGAGCATCTACCAACTACTACTACCTAGTAATTACATATAGTCAAAATGGGAAAAGGAGGAAGAGCAGTCGTTGCAGATAAGAAGGAACAAGTGGAGCTTCCACAGATTACCTGGGAGGAAGTGAAGAAGCACAACACTCCAAAAGATGCATGGATGGTTCATCAGAACAAAGTTTATGATGTATCTGACTGGTATGAGCATCCTGGGTAAGTCTATCGAGCTTGAGATATACATAGATATGTCTCATATATGTGACGACATGATGTACTCCATGTACAAAGATACATTTCATAGGTTCTCATAGACTAACCTCAATTCTTACTTACAGTGGAGCAGTAATCTTTACTCACGCAGGAGATGACATGACCGACATCTTTGCAGCATTTCACGCAACAGGTTCCATGAAAACCATGAAGCCATTCCTAAAGGGAGAACTCGTGGCAGAATCTACCAAAAAGGATCAACATCAGCTCGATTTCGAAAAGGGATACAGAGAATTACGTATTCAAATGGTCAAAATGGGACTCTTCCAATCATCCAAATTATACTATCTATTCAAAATTTGTTTCAATCTTTCCATGTGGGCGGTTGCTGTTTCCATGGTAATGTTTTCCGATAAGACTTCGGTACACATTGCTTCAGCGCTCTTGTTGGGTCTCTTTTGGCAACAGTGCGGATGGCTTGCACATGACTTTATGCATCATCAGGTATTCAAGAATCGTCTATTTGGAGATCTTGTAGGATTATTCGTAGGAAACTTTTTGCAGGGATTTTCAGTTTCTTGGTGGAAGAATAAGCATAATGGACATCATGCTGTAACTAACCTTCATGCGTCAGGTGACGAAGCACAAGATGGTGATCCAGATATTGATACCATGCCTCTTTTGGCTTGGACTTTGAAACAGGCGAATTCTTTGAAGGAGGCTGATCCTAATGGCAAGCATTCTCCAATGACCAAGTTTTTCATCAAGCATCAGGCGATTACTTACTTCCCTATCCTTCTCTTGGCGAGATTGTCATGGTTGAATGAATCCTTCAAGACTGCACTCGGACTTGGTGCTTCTACCGAGAATGCAAAGGAGGAATTCAAGCGTAAGGGATTGGCATATCCTATTGCAGAACCTACCCTTTTGCTCATGTTCCATACTTGGAACTTTGCTCTTTCATGTAAATTTGGTGAATGGTCCTTTGCTTATTCGGCAATGTATTACATGACTGCATGCATGTCTTCTGGACTTTTCCTTGCTCTTGTGTTCGGACTTGGACACAATGGTATGGCAGTATATGATGCAGAGACTCGTCCTGATTTCTGGAAGTTGCAAGTAACTACTACCCGTAACATCATTGGAGGACACGGTATGCCACAATGGTTCGTAGATTGGTTCTGTGGTGGACTTCAATACCAGGTAGAGCACCACTTGTTCCCTACCGTTCCAAGACATAACTTGCACAAGGTGCACAAGCTTGTAGATAGTTTCTGTAAGAAGTGGGATGTTTCTTACCATGAGGCTGATATGATTGATGGAAACTTGGAAGTTTTGAAGCATTTGAAGAGTGTTTCCAATGATTTCATCTCTGAAATGGTGAAGGAGTTCCCAGCAATGTAAATAGTTTTTATAATTATTCTAGGTAGTATGTTGCTATGAATTAGATTTTAAGTATTGGTTTTAAAAATCTTATCTTCCGTTCAAAATCATTCCGGCTAGTAGAGTATTTTCACATGAAAAACCAGTAGTAACATGAAACCTTCTCTTGCTAGGATCGCGTTCATCTAACCAGAAGCAAATATCGAAGTCATTATCATCTAGGCTGCATTCGGTCAACTTATTCTCTTCTGACAAAACCATGATTTTTGTCCCTTCTTTCCACATCCAATGAAATCCTGAGCAGCGCTTCACTTTTTCATTTAGAATCACTCCATTCAGATCCTCTTCAGACTCCAATAGTGCGCTTTCTTGATCATCCCACTGGCTCATCATACAGATATGGTTTAGAATTTCATCAGGCCGAATATCCACTGATCGGACTAGAGTTTCTTTGCTCTTTTCTGTGAGAAAGCTGAGATTGATTGTCCAAGTCCTGATATCTTCAGCGTCTGTAGATATCAAATATCGATTTGGTCTACTGTTGTTAGGGGAAAAAGGATGATATGTAGCCTCATCTGTTTTGTCTCCCAGAGAGTTACTAAAAAATAATTCGATATATGTAGCTCCGATCCAAATATCTGAAGATTCTGATTCGTCATCATAGTCATCATTAATTGGAAAAGAGATGTTTCCTATTTCTTCGTTGACAATAGGTCTAACCCCATTCCACATATGTTTACCATCACAGTAAATGTCAAACATAGCTACAATTGGAATAGACTCGTATTCATCACCGAGTGTTGTGTATCTGACGTTTTTCCCATATGCAAATAATTCTGGCTGAGGAGGAGCTCCGGACTCTCTGTTATGTAAAAATATTTCAAGACCTCCACTCATATTCTTCGCAATATTCTCTAGTGTCCTAATTGTGGATTCAAGTAATGGTATATCATCAACTGACTTGTGTCCAAAGCCAGAAGTAACTACGGGGATGCCAACTCCCCATGCCTTTGAACAAGTTTTAAGCCAGTTTTGGTATCTTCTGTCTATTTCAATCTTTGACCACTTGCAAAAAGAATGAGTCTTAGAGATATGTTGAAGGATACACACTTCTTTTACAGTGAGGTACTTCAAAAAGTCTCCCTGTTGAGATTCCAAGACGTCATGGATACTCGTGCATAAATCTGTGTTGTTCATCTTATCTCTTGATCAATGAGGAAGAATAAGTAGCAGCTGAAAAATATGAGAGGGTTGAGAGGACTTTGTATCTTTTTGCCATTCGAACTCCTATTTTTGGACAGCAGGTTTGACATCTTTCGACAGTAAATACTTCTTGGCTCGAAAGTCATGACTCAAAGGATGATGTACGACCTCACCACGCAGCCTTTTGATCAGCTGATTCCATATGTATTTCCTCTACATGAGTATTATCGTTTGCACGAAGTACTTGCCAACCATTGCCTTCTTCCGAATCTTTAGATTGATAGATGCTAAACGATGTATAGGTACTGACTCCATGAGCTTTCCAATCATTACCAGACAATGACTCATACAATCTAGTAACAGGTGATCCGTGCGATACCAAAAGAATAGTCTTGCCTGGATGCTTTCGTGATAGTTCATTTGCAACATCAGTGACTCGATCTTGTAATACTTTTCGAGATTCAAAATTGTTCCATTGATAAGAGTTGTCTGTCGATGAATAAATTTCCTTCTCTTGACTTGCAAGCAATTGAGACACTATACCCGAAGAAGATTGAAATTCTTGCACATGAGTAGATCCATTGAAAGAATCCAAAGACTCATCATTCCCATGACCTCGATAATTCTGTAAATATTCACAAGTCTCTGTTTTGGATTGAAACAATAAATGACTGCGAATCTTTCCTTTGGAATGTACGTCACTTTCATGTATAGGCGGAGGAAAGACACCATTCTGATATTTATCTCCATCTTTCCCTCCCCAAGTTCCATCTGAATCTTGTAAACACCATGAACGATACCATTTCTCATTTAATACTTCTACTAGACCCGTCTCGATGTGTACTTTTAGATCTGAACTTGTACATTCTTTCTTATTCTTATCAGCTTCTTGATCTTTTTGTTGATAGCCAATAATGGCTTCACCGGCAGTCATGCAACATCTAGTCAATAGTGACGAATAGACAGCTTCGAGAGGAGGTAATTCAAGTTCTTGTATCAGTTTGTATAGATAGGATCCAAGTCTTCGAGCTTGCATCTGTCCTCGATATGTGAGAGGAGGATCCCATGGTCTTTCATTGTTTGGTTCTTGCAGCCAATTGCCGCCATTGTCTCTTAGATAGTAATCTATCCTTTCTCCATGTCTAGCGACTATGATTGCTGATTTCATTTTCATTATTTGTTGTGTTTCATAGTTGAATCAATCAATCAAATAGGATGGAATATGGAATATGAAGGAATAAAAGGAATAGAAACAATTTTTAGTCTTTATATAGCAAATAAAAGGCCTATTGCAGAAAGTAATTTTATGAGACATTGGTTCGACCCCCGTGTGTGGATGATCTTGCCTGGTGGTGAGTGCAGGCTTCAAACCTGTAGGGGATTAGCGTCCCAGTCGTTCGATTCGACCTTTCGCACGTTTTTTCTTTTACAGAAGCCACCATGCTGCTTTCGTGAATATTTGATTCCATTTTACACAGCTATTTTATGTACGGTACGTAAAGATTTGTTCAATTTTTCAAATTGGAATTATGGCCATGGTGCAGGACGTTAAAAAATGGTTACTTGACAGAATGACAAACGACACGGGGGTTAAATGCAATCTTTTGTCACTCTTTTCATCGCCGAAAAATTCTTTACAAAATACACAACACGATAGTGATTAATCGCTCATCTAGTGCTACTCTCTACTGACATCTTTTGTTGTTAACGAGTACACATGACAAATAATGGCCACGGCAAATCTCAATGCTGCTCGTAGTAGCGCTTTGGGAGCAGTAAAGAAACACAAGAAGAAAAAATCGATCCTAGCTGCAAAATGGTTCCATGTAATTGTTGTTCTTTTATTTTTAATATTCATCTTTAGTACATCCAGACCACGTGATGTACTGGGGCAGTTGACAAACAATGTATCAACATCAACACTTCCTTCCACAAAGGCTTATAAATGCAACAAGGAACCTGTGTACGATAACCTCATATTATCACAGTCGGGAGAAGATAGACAATTAATTTGGGGCAAAGGAATCAGATTTGATAAAATCTGCGGAGGATCGTATATTGAAATGGGAGCTCTGGATGGTATACACTTTAGTAATTCGTTTGTCTTTAATAAAGCTCTCGACTGGAAAGGTTTACTTATAGAGGCGTCTCCGACAAATTATGAAGCTTTGGAAAATAATAGAAAGGAAGAAATTGCCCTCATCCATGCGGGTGTGTGTGGTCAAGAACGAGATCTGCATTGGGTGGATAAACCAAAAAAGCATGCAGTTGGAGGATTTGTGGAATTTGCTGCTGAAAGTTTTCAGAAAAAATGGTGGAATGAAAATGATATAAAGTATGCCAAAGTAGTTCGTTGTAGGACAATGAAGAATATTCTTCTTGAAACTGTGGGAAAGAATTATCATTTTGATTTCTATTCTCTTGATGTAGAAGGTGCCGAAGCTGAAGTGCTATCCTCAATTGATTTTAGTAAAGTTTCATTTGGGGTCATCTTTGTCGAGGCAGATCAGCATAATCCTCAGAAAAATGATGATGTCAAGAAGATATTGAATGATAACGGATATGAGTTTCTTTACAACATCAGAAATTCTGATTGGTTCCGTCATCGCGACTTAAGAGAGATCTACAAGGACATCATCACGTTTCCACCAGATGATCCTTGATTTCTCATCCAACTATTACTAATCTAAAATATTTATTTTATAAATATATTATTCAAACTACTCTACAAGTGTTTAGGTACATTCAAGGTTTTTCATTTACACAACGTAGATTTCAGCTGGAATTATATGATAATTTTGCAGGACGTTAATTAAAACGGCTGCTTGATAGACTCACAGACGATAGTGGGTAGTGGGTAGTGGGTTGCATAAGAAAACAAACAAAAAGAAAATGGAAAAAATAACAAAATATATACTCGTACAGGGCCTCCGAAGCCCTTTTTCAAACTCAGGTCCAGCGGGTCTGGGCAGCGAGCCCAGCGGGGGTTTGAAAGGGGAGGTCACCCCTTTGCTTGCGCGGCAGGCAAAAATTAGAGGAAAAAGAAGCATTTAGAGTGAATTTTCTATTTAAATTTATATGTCAAATTGTTTTGGCAGTAGTTCATTTTCAGTGTATTTTGAAGAGCTCCAGATTAATTCTTTTTTTCCATATAATTCTTTCGAAATTTTACTCTTTCGCTCTTGTTGAATTTTCTCCAATGCTGAAATCTCACCCAATGACGCTCGAACTTTAAATTTTTTGATTGAATTGAAGACACAATCAGCACTTCTGCATTTGTTTATCATTCCCCTTTACATTCTTATTACCCATTGATGCTTTCATCTGATCTACCATTTCATCCTCCTTCTCCTCAGCAACTAGATTCTTCCTTTTTTTGCCTTTTTGCGCCATATCTTTCTGTATTGCAAAATACTTCTCCATGATTTTCTCCGTAGAAAAAAGATTAGAATATAAAATATAGAGTCTGATTATTAACAATTGCATTTAGTTGCTGAAATACTACATCATCACAAGTGAGTAAGGTATTCTTCTTTATTTTTCATTGTCACGAACCAAAACATTAAGTAATAAGTATGTAAGACTCAACTCTTTCTACGACGAAATTCGGTTTTTCGAATGTAAAATTTGTAAAAATAAAAAACTACTTTCGTGCAATATACCATTCGATTCAGCGTGTTTTACTTGATGTTGTTGTGCATTGGTAATTGGTCAAAATACATTCTATCGACCAAGTATAACTTTTCAACGTTGCAAATTTCAAATTTCGGAGGAATTTAGCTAAATCCCGGAGGACTTCAGGAGGAAAAAGTCTTCCGTCGTATGACAAGTACGGTACGACGAAAACACTTTTTTGTTTCGTATCAGTTTCAGCACTGAAACGCTTAATTAAACTTGATCGAAACTAAATAACACAATCATAATGTATCTTATTACTTTTGAGTGCCTGCGGCGCACAGGCTCAGCCTTTGGCCTCGCGGAGGCAGTGAAAAAGAAATCAAGTAGAAAAAGTACTTCGGAAGTCCTCCGTAAAGTCATCCGTAGCTCATAACCTAAAAAATCAAAAATCGATTCAAAACAGTAGAAAAAGTAACAAAACACTTTGATTAGACTTTAATCTACATGTCTCCGAAAGAGTGGAGTCTTACATATGCAACACTGCTCGTGTGGGACGAAATTCAAAAGATCAAAGATCTTTAGAATTTCTTTCGAAAGACTTACGGAATACGTAAGTCTTTCTCTCCCACGAGAAGTCCTGCCATACATACATAATACCTACCTGGCACGGTCAAATTTCTTCAGGTCTCCTGCTGAAACTCAGGTCTTGGACCTGAAAATTATACGTGTTCGGAGGCCATGGTCGTAGTATATGCTTTATGTAATGCAATTGAATATTAGAAGGTTAAAAAGAATTCAAACAATACTCCAAAACGATGCAAAGTCCAAATAGAATCAAACTTGCCCATTCTGGTACCGACTCTACAGATGTCAAACATATCCAAGATCTCCCTCCAGAAATATTTCAACATTGCCTAGATTTCGTCGGCAAAGGTAACTTTGCATTTGTAGCTCCGGTATCAAAGCAATTCTATTGGGAATACATTAATCTGGGTGTTGATCGTACAGTTTATGATGCTGACACTGTGCTTGAGCAAGGTCGGAATAAACGGACTACAGCAGAAGTAGTCAGTAATGGTTCATTGAGGCTAGCTACAGAATGTTTCTTGAAGGCTCCAAAAGAGTTCAAGGAGGAAGTGTGTCGTAGAGCAGCAGTCAAAGGAAGGGTAGATATATTGGATTGTGGAGTAGCTCTAGGAGTAGACATGAAGTCTATCTTTGACATGGACTATTTTAATGATGAAGGAAGGGAAGCAATTGTACAAACCTTGGAGAATGGTCATTTAGAGGTGATTGAATTTCTTTCAAAAGAGGATGTCGATTTCAACTGCTCGTCCTTCTTCCATCATGTTACAGAGAAAGGCCATGCACGTGATCTTCATTGGATGATGGCAAAGGGAATTATAGAAAGAGAAAGAGAGGATATGGCTGCCGATCTAGCCAGCAATGGTGAGCTTGACGTTTTGAAAGAGTATTACTCGTATACTGATTGCATTACGCAAGATACTTTTTGGGCATGTGCAAATGGTGGTAATTTGGAGGTAATGAATTGGATGCTACAAATTAGGGACTGTGAGTGGGACGAGGAGTTATTTGCAAGCGCTGCACGTAGTGGAAGTATTCCAATGTTAGAGCTATGTGTTCAGAATGGATGTCATCATAGTTTGTATGTAAGTTTGCATGCTGTACAAACGGATAAACTGAAAGCATTGAATTCTTTGCAGTGGTTGCATAGCTATGGTTTTCCTACTATAGTAGATATAGTAGATAACATATGCAATGACCTTACTAGATATGGCAATCTAGAGGCTTTGAGATGGGCGAGAGAATCTGGATTTGATTGGGATCTCGAATCGTTTGAACGCACAGTATCTAATGGAAACATGAATATAGATACATTACAGTATTGTTTGGAGAATGGCTGTCCATCTGGTCCATTCTTGTATAAATATACCAAAAAGTGGAAGGAGGATGAAGTTTTGCAAATCTTCAAGTGGCTGTACCAACAGGGCGTCCCATGGGATGAAGATATAAGTCTTAAAGAGGCTGAGTTAGGACATCTATCTACCTTAAAATGGCTACTCGATCATGGCTGTATTTGTCATGATATAATATTTTACAAATCCGTTCGCAGATTAGATATGTCTATGCTTGAGATCTATCTCGCTAATGTCGAAGTTCTCGAACGAGACATTTATATTGATGTCATACAAGGTATGGACGATGGAATGTACCCTGACAGAGAAGACGCCACAGTAATACAAATATTTCAACTCTTTCGAGACTATGATTCTGATTGGGATGAAGATCTCATTGCCACTGCTGAAAATATGGGCAGAACAAAAGTTGCAAGATGGCTGAAATGTAACGGATGTCCGAGCTAGAATTGCGCATTTTTTGGAACAATGTCAATGCTGCCATCGTTATATTTCATAGAGTCATTCATTTAGAATGGAAGCATACCCAAGGCATATAAAGATCAAATAGATTAATGTGTGTTCTTTCTTGCTGAGGTGACTTTACCTATTCTTGTTAGACGTTAGAAATTACCATAGCATTATGAATTATTCACTACCACTTGTCTAAACAAAGATGAACAAAAAGTTTGGAAGTTTTTACTTTTTAAATCATGTGACAACGATGAAAGCCGTTAATTAATAAAAACCGTCTCATAATGATGGACGACAGACGACATTGGTCGAAACAACGAAAACTATGTACTGCAGCACTGCAGCTAAAAGCGAGGGCAGATTCCAATTTTTACTGTGCATATATAATTACATGTAATGCAATTGAATA